CTGCTTCTACAAGTAAAACCGTTCATTGCGTTAGGTTGGATGCAGTTGATTCATCAGAGAAACAGAGGCATCAAGTGGTTATTCAGCGAGCTAACGAGACACACACAGCTACATTAGATCAACATACAAATAAAACAGCTTCAACTCTTCTATTCTTTTGAAATTCGGATTTTGCAGCGGAAGAACGAAGTAGCTGTAGGCAATTTATGGATCGCGAAAAAAATGGGGGGGGNGGAATAAAGAATGAAGCAAAGGGAATATGGAATGAAGTAATTAAGGAACGGAGCTGAGCAAATAAAACAAAGAATGAAAAAGTACAGGATGGGTTTATAATTAGAATGATGAAGTCAAGGAAGATGAGGTGGGGAAAGCATGTAGCACAAATGGGGAGTAATTATGCATAAAGTATATTGGTGGGAAAGCCAGAAAGAAAGAGACCACTCGGAAGACCAAGACCTAGGTGGGTGGAAAATATTCAAATTGATCTTAGAGAGATAGAATGGGATGGTATGGATTGGGTTGATCTGGCTCGGGATAGGGACCAGTGGAGGGCTCTTGTGAACACGGTAATGAACCTTCGGGTTCAATGAAATGCTGGGAGGATCTTGAGTAGCTTCAGAACTGGCGGCTCCTCGAGAAGGGCTCAGCTCCATGGGTGAGTATGTGATTAACAGAGGAAGAGGAAGGGGAATTATGACGACAGCAGAGGGCAGAGCTGCTTTACGTGATGCTTGTCTATCGGATTACTCTCCGATAAATGAAGGCTTTACACTCCTTCGAGAAGCCTTTAAAATTCTACCAAGATACACGGTGTCACATCCGGGACGCTAATACTATTTATATAGTTGCTATAGGATTCTGACGATGGTGTATAACACACAGAGATACTGGGTTTTCGGACATTATCCATCGTCCTGGTTTTTTAAGAGAATTAAGAAAAACACGACGTTTCGGAAACTGGATCTGTTTACATCCTCAGGTGAAGGAAAACACCTATTCTGTTGGGTCCCTTAGAAAGAGGTAGCCTCAATCACTGGACAATTGACCCAAGGGATCCAACAGAATAGGTGCTTTCCCTCACCTGAGGACGTAAACAGATCCAGTTTCCGAAACGTTGTGTTTTTCTTAGTTATCTTAAAACCAGGACGAATAGTATTCATACTCAATACTGTGTGAATCTCAGAGCTGAAGCTAAAATTGTCACTGTGCTTGACCAATTAAATACGGTGCCATAAAAGCGTGTGGAGGAGCGGAGGTACAGCTCCTCAGTTCTTGACATCGGCACTAGATGGAGGTGAGTGATTAGCCTCACGCCCCGACCATTTTACCCTTTGGGGAAAGCCCCCTCGTTAACCATTGGATTAGAGGCTGGGTGGGCCCCAGAGCTGGTCTGGCCCGTCTAGACGCTATGGAGGAGAGAAAACCTTGCCGCTGTCGGCAATCGAACCTTGGCCATCCAGTACGTCACTGTACCGACTGAGCTATCCCGGCGCTTATCTCAAATCTTACCAAAGATTTAAAGAAATGAAGGAGGAAGGATAGAACACAGTAAGAATAAAACGAGGTAGAAATTGAGAATACAATATAAAAGACAAGGAAATACAATTTCTCCTGCAGCTTACAAATAGATCACACGGGAAACAAACATAAAGTGAATACCTGTTTACGAAATGCAGCGCGAAACATCTAAAAAGACTGTAACCGTGCTAAAGCAAATACTGCTCTTCGAGAATTGGGTGATATTTTGGGAGTTCAGACATATTCTAATGTGAATATTATATTAATGAAAGAACGGCTCTGTTAATTGCAAGAAGCCAAGGCGACCAGATGTACAGGTTGTCCGGATGAAACGTATCCAAAATAAAATCATCATATCTCAGAAAGAATTTATTACACACATTAATGGGTTACACCATTACAAAAGGAAACTATCAAAGTTTTTCTGCTTATATAATTTTCTCAATAAATTTAAATGTGGGTTCCTTTGGTGGCACGACAAATATCCAGGCTTGAAACATGTTTGGTTTTACCGTAGCGACAGCGTCATTTATGAGGGCTTTCGGTGTTGAAGGTCGTTGACCTTAACCTGGTAGACAATATTCTTCACATAACCCCACAAGAATAAAACCCAGCGGTAACCTAGGAGTCCAAGCGATTGGTCCACATCTGCCAATTCATATCCCAGCCATCTCTCTGTCCAGGTGATTCCTAACATGGTGGCAAAAATATGGCGGCGTATGCGCGTAAGACTGGTAGAGGAAAAAACTTTCTAAGTTTTCCTTTCCGATGACATAAACCGGGTATATGTATGAAAATTAGTTTCCGAGATATACTTTCTTTATTTTGGATAACTTTCATTCGGACATTCTGTATATTTATGTCTGTTGTGCCTTACTAAACCTATTCCAAAATGAGAAAACTCAACAGAGTTGGGCAGACAAATTTTACCTTCCACATAAACAAAAGAAACTGACATTTCCTGGAACTCTTTAAGTGTCAGATCTTAGAGGCAGCTAAGTGCTCCGTAAAACATTCATAACCCCGTCCCTGCAGACGCATCGTATCATGTAAACGGGGTGCATGGGGGCAGGGAAAGGAGACAAGATGTAAAACACACTGTAGCTACCTGTCACATTAAGCCACAAGACGGATGGAAAATTCTTTTATTCACACAAAAGGGAGCGGTACAGGGTCTCGAGAGTAGGACTCGTAAAGTTATTCGAAAACATGAAGTTCCACATTATTTCGGAGAGGTTCGAAGCCCATACATGGTTCTAGCAGTGGGCTTTAGGAATCTCCAAAAACATCAACCCTGAAGAGAGGAAATGAAATCACTACCAGAGGTCTAGATATGTTTACAGTTCTGGAGTCTCTGAACGGGCCAAACAACATGGGGAAGATCCTCAGAATATTTAACAACATTGTTTCACCTGCTGAGATTATAAATTTGGAAGGCGGTATCAGTGAAACTAAAAATATTCAATATAAATACGGCGTAGAATATAATGACGAATAATCCATCAATTGGAATAATTTATATAACCTAAGTAAGTAAAGTAAAACTATCCCTGTAACAGGCCGTGAAGGCCCATAGGGTTGTGAGACGTTAAGGCTCCCACATTATCTTGACAATCGGCTCAAAGATGGCAGTAAGGTTGTCAGCCTTACGCGCCGGCCGCGCTTTACTCCCCAGGAAAATTATTTAATTAATTCCTGGTACTCATTTATGTTATAAGCTGAGTCGACCCCAGGGCCGTAGTGCGGCTGGAAGGATTAGGTCCATTGGAAAAATCCAATGACCTCATCGGGACTTGAACCCGCGACCTTCCGGCTTGTAGCATAGTACCTTAACCACTACGCTACCGCGTACCCCAATTATATAACCTAACGAGATAAATAAATAAATAGAATTACTCCTATAAAATAAAATAAAATAATATATATACACAAGAATAAAATTTGATATCAGCAGATATATAAATAAACAGAGAGAAGAGGATTTGAACCATTCAGTGAGGGCGGGTAAGCGAATGAATGGACAGTACAAGTAACAAGTAAGCCGTGATCAAGGAACTGGACCGAAAAATCGTGCTTCTTGCATCCGAACACAGCTCCATGCGTTATTAATGCTCCAGCTCTCCTTAGATAATGGAATGACTCGACATCTATTCACGGCGCCCTGAATAATTTGCTTTTCTAAAGGAACAAGCAACCCTCAGGGCGGCAGTTGTCAGTGGCGTGTTACAGGAGACGATCATGCAGGAAGGCTTCAGGATTATTAATTGTGTGGACACAAGAGACATTTTACGGTAACGTATCATGAGAATCAGTGGCGTGGATACAATGTTCAACGTTACAGCTTGACATCACGGCAATCAGTGACGTGGGGACGAGATACAACTTTACGGTAAGGTATCATGTCAAACAGCGGCGCGGAGGCAAGGTTAAACCTTACAGGAAAACATGACAATCAGTGGCGTGGAGGGACATACTTATTTGCACCCCGTGGCAGTGTTCAAGATCCCGTGGATCAGTCTCCGTGTCTCTAGATCTCCCTCAATGAAATTGACTTATCGATCATCTCTAAACTGAGGCGTCCTTACTGAATGATTCTGGAACAGTAACCACAGCCTCATATTCTGGCTGAAAATTTTTAAACTCTTCATTAATCCATGATATGTATGTAATGGCCGTCTTGTAGTGCACTCAGTTTCATATGTCGCTTCTTACTACATGTTTCGGCAACATAGTGCCATCTTCAGGTTCGTTATTTACGCTAAGCTATTACATTGTTTGCCATCTTATGTCTTTCATAAAATTATTTAGAAAGTACATTATTCGTCAACTATAATAAAATTTGTATATACTAAAACTTGTTAAGATTATTCATCTATATGTCTAAATTCAAACTCGCGTATAGTATGGTTTGTCCACTATGGGAGTCGTTTCTCTGTGTGTACTGTGTCTGTGATGTGTCCTTCCTTTTTGGCTGCGAGCTACTGTGTAGAAAGAAAGAAGAATAAGCAAGAGGATAGATAAGTAAGATAAAATAAAATAGGGAATAAGTATGACATGTATGAGATTTGATGAACTCATGACAAAGAACCCTACGATTATGATCTACGTTGATGTAGTGAATTTTAGACAGTCTGATCTGAAGACGGAAACATAAATTTTCTCCGAAGCATATATATCTACCAAATAGTACGGTGTCACATATCAGAAACCCGTAACCCACGTTCAAAAATGTTACTCATTGTATTCAAAATCGCCCTCATCCAAACGGTCATCTTTCCCAACTCCTGCGATGTTACGAGACACATCCAGTTGAAACAACATCCTTAAATAACCTAAGGTTATTCAAGGATGCTCATTCTCAGAGACAGAACACTTTAAGTAACCCAGCCACTTATTCTGACGGCTACTGGCAAGCTTTGTATTTATGTATATCCATATATTTTCTCATTCAACTGCAAATATCGGAGAATCGGTGTACTGACCTGCGTGGAGGCGTCCACCTGATGTAGTGCGGAGGCAGAGGAGGTGTCCTTCGGGCCGAGATTGCCCCGAGACCCTCCCAAAGACCCTGCAAAAATAACAGAAACAGCCGTCAAAATTCGTTTGATGATACGTGGAATGCAGCAGGCTATTACAGGAGACAGTTTACGTTAAATATTTGTTCTTGTTATTTGTGGGAGATAGCGTTAAACGTCGGCCTGGACTTATCATTCGATAGATAAGAAGTAGGTTTGAAATGAATAGGGGGGGGAAAAAGCAAGGAAAATTAATACTACGAAAGTTTACATAACAAATAAAGAGAAAGTAAAAGGAGGCGTGGGAAAAAAATATTCTTGACTTATTTAAATACCAAATCAGTAACCCATATTTTGCAGCATCGATGTTAGGTTGATTAACGAATGGTTAGAAAAGGTGTGGAAGGAAGCGGCCGTGGTGTATTTCAAAGTATGAGTACTATCCCGATATTCAACTAGAGGAAATGGGGAAACTATGAAATAACTCAGGATATTGATTGTCCCGGGCACCTAGACTCGAACCAGATATCTCCCGCATATAAGTCAGAAGCGGTAAAGCATTAACCAAGATGCGAGATTAAAGAGACATAAGCAGAAGGAGACGTATGGAAGATTTGGAAAAAATGTATAGTCAAAAATGAAAGAAAACGATGGAAAGAGAAGAGTAAGAAAGGTAAAACAAAATGGACAAGGGTATAAATGAGAGTGATTCTCGTGGTTTTCCTGATTATCTTCAATGTCAGAATTGTACCGTATTATCAACCAAAACCACATCCTTCAGGATCCTTATTTTCACAACATGAAAATAATTGTCCTACCTCATCTGACCTTATAGGACCTCTGCAGTTGAAACACAGTCGTCTAACAAAAAAAAAAAGAATCAGTGAGTCCTATAATATACTTGTAATATCCTAGGTTCTTCCCAAGAGCATCAACATTTCAAACAAAGTCGGCTGAATTTTTATCGATTTTTCATGGTAGATTGTCGGTAAGTACTTTCGAACTCTTTTGAAATTCATCTAAACGATATTGTCACGTGTATGGAATGTACCTACGGAAGGGATTGGGGTTGGTATTTGGAATTACTGAAACATTACACATCATAACTAAAAGTAACTATAGTGCTATCTCTAACTCACACACTACAGCAAGAACTAAGTCTTCTCAGTCTGCTGCACTGTCATCGGTTGTCGCCTGATAACGGCTCCCAAAGCAGTAGCTTATTCAACTTCCATATTCACGTCCTTACTGACTAGCGAATTTCTCAAAATTGACTAAACTCTAATTCAAAGTCACATTGCGACTGACCGTCAGTCAGTCAGTCAGTCAGTCAGTCAGTCAGGCTTGGTGTCGAGCCAAGTCTGGGGCTCATGACCAGATATTTATTACTGGTTGACAGTTACGGTCTTGTTATTGTGGGGCGAACTCTCTGACGAGGCTGCTGGTCCTTGCCAGCACGGTCTTTCTCGGGTCCAAGTCCCTTGGGACTCGTGACGGTATTTTACTGTCTCAGATTTGAAACTCCTCTTTTCTTCCCCTCCTACGACTCGCAGGGTCACGGAGGAGGTATTCGACCCCGCCACTACATGGGTAACTGACTAAAATCCAGAATTATCCTACTTAACACACATCGACACGGACCGCATAGAAAACATTGCTTTCAGCAGTTCTATTATTACATCACGAAGCTGTCACTAAGACCGCATAGAGAACGCCGCTTCCCAGTTAGTTTATTGGTGCGTGTTAGGAACCTGTTGCCTCGCAACCGGTATTGTTTACAGAGTCATTACTTAACAATGAGTCTACATGCTACAATATTATAAAAATACGACTCTCGCAGAGATCACGCTGATTCTGAATTACGAAAGGTACATGCTGTTTCAGGTATTAATCGCAATTTATTGTGGGAATCATGCGAAACCTATGAACAGGTCTATATTTTGTAGGCAAAATGCAGGATTCTTTAATGTTAAGCTGGAAGGTGTATGTAGTAACCATAACATTTCCAAGTGTTGAACTGACTAAGTCTCTGTCAAAGAAATACACGGGATTTTAGCTTACGTAACGACACATCACTGCAGAACTTATTTAGTGTCGAATATACAGAAAGCAATTGTGTGCCAATTTATATACAGTAAAATGAAATGGGTTATATTTAAGGAAGAAACGAAGATGAAAGTGCAGATAAACTGAGTCTCATAGAACCTGTAAAAAAAAAGATTCCGTGGTCTGTAGTCCTCAAGCGAACTATACCGACCGAGCGACCACAGCTTGTCGGCGAAGTTAGTGCAAAATTTTACAGGTAGAGGGTGTCAAGTCAGCGCAACGGATTCCCACGGCCGTTTATCTCGGTTCTCTAGACCGAAGCCGCTACACCCCGGACCTCTGGATATGTAGCCAAGAACTCTGATCACCAGACCACAAAGGCGCTCATAGAACCTGCACGAAAAAGTTAAAGCTATCCCTGTAACAGGCCTTGGAGGAACATGTGGTCGCGAGACGTCGAGGCTACCACATTTCTCTAGAGAATCAGCTCACAGATGGCGGTGAGGTTCTCATCCTTAAGCGCCGGCTATCTTTAACCCCCAGGAACATTCCTGGTACTCATTCCTGTTAGAGGCTGAGTCGACTCCAGGGCCGTAATGCGGTTGGAAGGATTAGGTCAATTGAAAAATACAATGGCCTCATCGGGAATCGAACCCGCGACCTGCGGGTTGTAGCGTAGTCCCTCAACTATATACGCTACCGCATGCGTCACCTGAACGATATGATTTGATGAAACAAGATACTTATTTATATATGGAATTTAATATTTTTTGCTCAACGAGAGTCTGCAGTATAAATTAGCTGCCGGGTTCCAACAACAATGGAAGTTTTGAACACTGAGTTATTAGTGTTAATAGCGACCGCTGCGCACCAACAGTTAATGCTGATAACACATCCGCTGCTCCAACAGGAAATGAATTAAGGGAATGTCTTTCTAACAAGGCAGTGTATACTATTCATTGAGCAAACTGGAATTCAGCAATAACAGTGGGAATCAAGTCACGTAACAGGAACACACAGAGAACCATTACGATCTTGAAAGATTCCTCTTAAAGCGTATAATTATTACTTCAATTGAAGGGAAATACTTTTAGTAATAACAGTGTATGTGACTTTTCACATAGACACTTATGATAAAGACGTTAAATTTCAGGTTATCAAAGCGGTAAATATGAAGAACACTATACTGTAGAATGTGGCGCTTTTTAGTCTGGTAAAAGTACACCGACGTTTCGGAAAAAAATTGCTGCCTGTGTTCTGGATCGAATAATAAGCCATGCACAAAAACCGTAGCTTGTCGCTTGCTCTTTATTAGTCCCTCGCTTGTCTAACTTTTAGATCCTGAAGATGGAGCGTTGATAGGCTTTTACTGCACGACACGGTGTCACATTCCAGAAGGTAGTACACTTTTGAGGATCATATTTAGTGTTAAACACGACAAAGCATGTAATTATTAAATAGAAAATGGGCACAAAATATTTAAGCGGTGTTATTTGGTGCAAGACAGGGTGCAGAATGTTTCGATTTTCAACGGCACTGGTTATATCAATTTTCACGAAAATCTGTTAATTAGTGCTTGCAATATTGGCGTCAGTGTTACAAATACGAGACCATGCGACTTGGCACACAGTTCGTCCGAAGGGCAATCTACAGGTTCCCCAAGCACTCAAATCCATGCTGGGTGAATTGTGTTTCCCTTTCTCAGTAGCGCCACTCAAAGAGCCCCACGCATAATGCCATAACCAGAATCACAGAGACTAAATAAAGCAAACTGAAGTTGTCACCGCGCTTAATTACGCACCAAGACACCAAGACGTATGGGGTACTACATGGAGGTGAGTAATAAACTGCACCATCAGGGCGCTTAACCCCCGTACCCATACCTTAGGGTGCTGGGTGGGTCCCCGAGTCGATCTGGATGGTGTGCAGAGGAGAAATATCTGTTCCTCCTACCGGGAATCAAACCCAAATTACTCGGTCATCAAATCTATGGCCTGCCGCTTTATCGACTATTGAAACTATCAAAGTAATAACTTTATTCACATTTTTATTTCCTCAGAAAACATTATGGACTCTTATTTAAACTACAAGCAAACTGGAAGAAATATGAATTCTCCGTGGCCTATAGTTCGCAAGCGAAATATACCGACCGAGCGACCGCCATTTGTCGGCCGAAGTTAGTGCCAACTTTTGCGGATAGAGGGTGTCACGTGGTTAGTGCAACGAATCCCCACGGTTTTCTAGACCGGAGCCGCTATTTCCTTGAAATAGCTCCTCATTTACCCTCACGGGGATGGGTGGACCACTTTCCAGACCTACTACTTATCAGAAAATTTGGTATCGCCGGGAATCGAACCCAGACCTCTGGATCTATAGCCAGAAGCTCTGACCACTAGACCACACATGCGGTCGGAGGAAATATGAACGATACAAATTTTTCTAGAAAACATAAAGTACGAAGGTACGACGAAGCGTATAAACACCAACCACCCATAAATTTCTTATTATCCTGACTAAGGACTTTGTGACATCTATCGCTCGTAACCATGGAGGGCCAAGGATCTTTACTGCACGTGTAACCAAAGCTAAGGACTGACAAAATGTACGGCAGAAGATTTCCTCTGCCTGTCCATATTTCATGCATATAGCGATTTCTGAGAAGCCCATAACGTGTAGGTGACATCTAACAGTAACATGTATACAAAATGAAGAGGTTGCTGTAGACATTTGATAACTTCTCTGTAATGAACTAGGCTGTCTGGAAGTTTCATATTCCTTTCAAAATAAAGTTGCGATGTCAGAGAAAGCGGAAAGGAAGTGACATAATATAATTTGCTTCTCGGCGGCACAGACGGGGATAAAAGTCACGCTAGGAGCTCAACATTTTGTGGCAGGGAAATCCCCGGAGAGTGGCACTATTCTGATAAACGGCTTTGTGCTCATTCAGGTGTTCCGTCGCCAGGCAACTGGCAAGGGAGTCGCTCGGTCAAGCGTTACGGCTGGAGAT